ATAGCATGGCAGTAGACATCCATGAGTAGACTGCTACTAATTGTCCCTTTGCAACCTGAAGAGTAAAAGGGTCAAGTCCGTCAGAAAGCAATGACTGCAAGTGTAAGTGTAAGCCTTACACTTACACTGTAAGGATTAGTAACATGTATTGTGTTTATGCGATGACATTTGGAGATGTTTAAACTCAATGAGAAAATGCGTTAGCATTCGCGCTAGCGTTAGCATACACGCTAGTGTTAGCCATACTAGCCTGTATACATGCTTATTGCACAGCTAGCATTAGCTATATTCACCTTGTTTACACTTAGCGGTCCTATGTGTTAATCTGTGTATGTTACACTTGCATGTATGAGATCATTAAGTGCCTTGTAACTTATTTTTTATAGTTTCACTCCGTTTGAATGTCAGTGGACTGCAAATAAGTCAATAAAGGAGCATGGCTGCTCATTCCCTGGCTCTCAAAAGAGTTTGGCTGGCTCTTTAATCTATGTTCACACTGAGACAGTAAAACACATAGAGAGAACAGTGCACCTATTGTGTAAGTACATACAAGCAGGTCCCACAGTATGATTTTGGTATGTGTCTGAACCTCTCTTTAGTGGTTCATTATTAAAACAGATATTTCAACGTGGGCCTACTTTGTTCATGTACTCTTGAGGTTAATTTCAGTAGTTGTGTACTATCATGTATTTACAAAGTGTGAAGAGGAGGCAACTTTAGAATAGGGAACCTGTTCAGGTCAATTAGAGTCAAACTACTAGCTTATTGGTTATGAACAAGACTTCACTTTGAAATAGAGAAATATTCTTAGATAGAAATACCTAATTAGAGTCGAACTACTAGCTTATTGGTTATGAACAAGACTTCACTTTAAAATAGGGAACATATTCTTAGATATAAATACCTAATTTTGAGTTATTTAGACTTAATTAACACTTATAGTTTCATGTCTTGTTACAGTAGTAGTAATGATACCCCTTCCATCACATTAGTATGCATAAAAAGTGACAGGTCACATACCCCACTAATTATGCTTATGATCCCCTTTGATATGCTAATGAGCCCCTTTGTTCGAGGTGTTATCGCATGTAGGTGTGATATCACAGATAGGTGTGATATCCTTTGATGTGAGGGGTGAGGTGTTGTAACATGTAGGTGTGATATTCCCCATTGTAGTAGATCCTTTGTTGTCTAATCTAATTAGCCTTTGATGTCTGCCCCTTTGTTGTCTAATCTAATTAGCCCTTTGATGTCAGTCCTTTGATGTGAGGGGTGAGGTGTTGTAACATGTAGGTGTGATATTCCCCCTTGTAGTAGATCCTTTGTTGTCTAATCTAATTAGCCTTTGATGTCTGCCCCTTTGTTGTCTAATCTAATTAGCCCTTTGATGTGAGGGGTGAGGTGTTGTAACATGTAGGTGTGATATTCCCCCTTGTAGTAGATCCTTTGTTGTCTAATCTAATTAGCCTTTGATGTCTGCCCTTTGTTGTCTAATCTAATTACCCTTTGATGTCTGTCCTTTGATGTGAGGGTGGTGAGGTGTTGTAACATGTAGGTGTGATATCACACCGACGTGTTATAAGCCTTTGATGTCAATCTAATTAGCCCTTTGATGTATGTCCTTTGATCAGTGTTTGTAACTAGTATTAAGACAGTCTCTTTGAAGTTGTGTGAGACTGTCTCGCACCCCGTCCCCCTCTCACCTCTTCTGTCACCCCCCTTCCTTTAGCTGTGATGTCAGAAGATAGTGAGGGGTGGAGTTAGGTAAAAAAGAAATCCGTGCAAACTAGATAAAAAGCCAGTCATTTCCACTCACCAAGTCACCTAAACTTTCAAAAACGAAAATGGCAAAGAGACGCATCGATATGGGTTTAATCAGCGAGACGCCTGTGACAGTCGGGAGCGCCAGTCAAGAAACGGGTGCAGTATCTGTGCCGGGTTCAGACCCTCCGTCTGAGGCTCTTCATGAAAAATGGAGTCTGGATGTGTGAGACTGTCTCCCCTCACACCCCCCCTCCCACCCCTCCCCTCCCCCAGCCGGTCACCTCCTGATTTTGCTATCAGCCATTCATTCTCATTCACTAAGTCACCTAAAAAATTAGATTAGTTTTTAATATGATTTGTGTTAACTATGGATGTTCTCTTAAGTTGTAAGGCTTGTGAACTAATGTTTAATTACTTTACTAACTACAAGGGACTCTCTTTTTGAAAAGAGGGTAATACTAATTTAAAAAGATGTTAATGACCCCCTGATATTGTATTTGTAATGTTTAATTACTTCACACAACTTTAAAAGCCCCTATGAAGTTGTTGTTAACTAAGGATGTTCTTTTGAAAATGTATGGCTTGTGAACTGGATGTTTAATTACTTTAACTACAACGAAGTCTCTTTAAAGAGGGTAATAATAATTTAAAGATCTTAATGACCCCTTGATCTTGTCTTTTTATTGTTTAATTACTTTATTAACTATAAGGAAGATTTACTGGTGTGCTTCCCTAGATTATGTAAATAGTCTACGTGCCATGTTAGGGGGACATTACGGAACTTAGGAGTCCGCCCTTGGAGGCTTGGAGAGCGGATAAAGAGAGGTGTATTTACTGGTGTTGAGCCCTGGATGATGTAAATAGTCCAAGGGCCATGGTAGGGGGGCATTACGGAACTCAGGAGTCTGCCCTTTGAGGCGTTGTTAACATTAATGCTTTTTGCTTTTGTTTTTGTTACTAAGATACTTTTTAGATACACTTTCGAAGTGAGCAACACTTTACAACTGGTAGAAAGTTAAGTACTTTGTATGGAATTGGGTTTTCTTTAGAGCTGTTTTCAGTGAGACAATGCAGTTTTTGATCATTTTAAGTTTCAAGTTTCAAGGCTTTATGGCGTATGCCCATTAGCTACAGTGTAGATATGTCAATGAAAAACATAGGTCACAGGCTCCTCCAACAGTGCAACAAATATATATATATATATATATATATATATATATATATATATATATAGAGCACATAAAACAGATAAAATACTGCAATAGAATGTTTTGATATGACAGATTTGTGCGTAATTCACGTTTATGTATGGAAAACTTTATAACTTGGTAAAATATTCATTCATTTGTAATGAATTACTTGACTAACATTACTTTTTTTTTTAAATATATGTTTTTAGATGCTTTACTTTTGATTTCTTTCATGTTATTTTAACACAACATTACTCTTTTCATATTTTTCAACATACTGTGATATTTGTTTTTTCTCTCCTTTTTCCATTATATTTTTGAATATACAGACACTCAACGCAATAAGTCCCACCCCAATCAGCAAATCATCCAAAACTAAGCACCCCCACTAAGACGACCAGATTTTCTTTAAGACTGTGACTCTTAAAGGCACTTTGGGATTTTAGTAAGACAATCCAGTTTTCTGGAAATAACTTAAATGATTTTAGTTTTTTCTCCTACAAAGATACTTATAGTTACACTTTAATGGATACAAAACTTTATAACTTGCTAAAATATTCATTAATTTGTAATGAATTGAGATTCTTAAAGAATCAAACTCTAAATGGAGAGTTTGTGATTTTAACACTGTTTCGATGAAACAATGCAGTTTTGATAACTTCACTTGACTAACATTACTTTTTTAAATATATGTTTTGTTAGATGACTTTTCTGATTTTTGCTTTTTTCTTCCTTGCTTTTGTTTGTGTTACTAAGATACTTTTAGATACACTTTGAAGTGTGCAACACTTTACAACTGATAGAATAGTACTTTGTAAGGAATTCGTTTTCTTGGTAGAATATAAAGTACTTTGTAAGGAATTGGGTTTCTTAACAATCCTGCTCCACCATTAAATCACTTAATCTGCTACTTCCAGGCAAAGCTTTAAAACTTGTATCGTGTATTAAGTCATGTCTTGGCAAAAATGAGAGTCCTGGGTGCTTTAAAACATTTCTTAGAACATTTTGATATATTCAAACACATAATGAACTGCAAGGACTCTGGCTCACTGCTGCATCAAATTTATTTTACACTGTTGTGAGGACAAGACTGTGAGACTCTCAGACCCTTTGTTGTCAATCTAATTAGCCTTGATCTATAAAAAAGTCACCTACTACTTTTATTTGTCCTCTCTAAATTAGATTTAGGGTTTTTTAAATTCTGAAAAGGCGTGTTGTGAGGGGGAAAAAACAGGATGCTTCATTCTGCTCAAGAAATTAGCCATAGGGCTCTTTGAGGTACTTACACTGTAGAGGGAGTTCAGTGGAAACACTTCAAAGAGGGGGCCTTCTGGTGGATTTGTGCAAAAATGGCTAAAAGAGCCCAAACTTTGAAAATATCAATTTTTGCAATGGAAGGTGCTTTAACCTTGCTTTCTTTCCAATGGTGCCCAATAGAAAAACGAGTCAATGTAGGGACCCTTCACTGATCTATGGGTCCTGGAACTTTCCCCCCAAGGGAGTGTTTATCAGCATCAATGCGGAAGAAGCAAACCCATTTTACACCTTGGCTATCCAAAGGTTGGACAGTCACTTTCTCCGTCTTTGCACATTGCCACCTTGGTTTTGGAGCGTCACCCTCGTGGTTCTTGGCTGCCACCATCTGGGTTTTGGTTCGTTCAGTGATGCTGTCTGAAGTGATTGAGACAATCTTTTACCTGGCACATTTTTACTGAGATAAGTGCAAGACATTTAACAAAAACATCTTTGAGGTTTTCACGTCAGTCAGTAATGATTAGAAACCAGATGTTCTTTGAGGTCTGTCCAGTGAAACCACTCCCACGCTGTGTCCCCCCCCCTTCTCCACATATTGTCAGATAGTAAGGTCCCTGTCATGAGCTCTGGCCGTGACTCCAGCTCAGGTGTAGCAGGTGAAACACAACTGTTGTCTGACATTTGTTTCACATTTGACACAGGTTTCTGTTGTTGGATGTATAGTTGTTGAATAATGCTTTATCTGTGCTCATCTTTAACATAATGTTCTAAATCTTTAACAACAGGAGGATCATGGTTAACTCTACGGAAGCTTCCTATTTTATACTGACTGCATACTCTGACACCGGGGTTTTTAAATACCTATATTTCCTGATCATTCTGGCTTTGTATATTTGTATTATAGGTGCCAATATGTTGCTGATTGTGGTTATCTGTGTGAACAGGAGCTTACATGAACCTATGTACCTTTTTCTGTGCAGCCTGTTTGTAAATGAACTGTATGGTAGTACAGGGTTGTTTCCATTCCTTCTGGTTCAGATCCTCTCTGACATTCACACTGTTTCTGCTCCGCTCTGCTTCCTGCAGATTTTCTCTGTGTATACATATGCAAATGTACAGATTTATATTTTAGCCGTCATGTCTTATGACAGATATCTTGCTATCTGTTATCCTCTGCAATATAACACATATATGACATCTAACAAAGCTTCCTTTCTTATTACAGTGTCATGGTTTTTCCCTTTTCTTGCAATTGTTGTTATGATATTCCTGACTCTGTCTTTGCAGCTGTGTGGGAACATACTTAATATAGTTTACTGTGGGAATTACTCCATTGTTAAGCTGGCCTGCTCTGACACCAGGGTCAATAACATTTATGGACTCTTTTACACGGTCTTCTCCATCATCATTCCTCTGCTTTTAATCCTCTACACGTACATGAGGATCCTCAGAGTGTGTTTCTCTGGCTCCAAACAGACCAGACAGAAAGCTCTCAGTACCTGCACACCTCACCTCGCTTCCTTGCTTAACTTCTTTTTTGGAGCTTTTTTCCAGATATTACAGAGCAGGTTTGATATGAGCAGTGTTCCCAACATTCTGTGCGTTTTATTATCCCTGTACTTTCTAACATGCCAGCCTCTCTTTACCCCAGTCCTGTACGGGCTGAAGATGTCTAAAATCCGCATCATATGTAAGCGTCTGTTGTACGGAGAAGTGTAGGTCATCAAGAGATTGCAGAGAAAGAGAATGAAAGGACCCTGACTTCAGCAGTATTAACTCTAATGACGTGTCTAGTTCACTGTGTGCAGAGGAAGGAAATGAAACGTGCAGCTGTACATGTGCTGAGCTTGATGCTGCTCTCTCTTTCTGTTTCTTATCTTGCTTTTCACTTTTCATATCAGCCTCAGTGATTTTAGGAGAACCCTGAAAGGTCCATGAGTCAGGACGTTAGGAGTGAAGCTGAAGTTAAAGCTGAATGAAGCTTCTCGCTGTGAACAGACACAGAGCAGCTTCATATCAACTATGTTCCCAATATGTTGACAGTATTTTCACCATTGTATTCTATCACATGTAATGTGTCCCAAATATACATCCTGTGTACAAATCAGCTGTTAGCTTTCACATCACCTGTGACCTTATGAGTATAAATCAATGCAGCGTTGTACTACACTGAATAAATAACACACACACAGCGGTTTGTATTGTCTTTTTCATGTCATGCAAAGTAATGGTTCTGATCCTTACGGGATGCACAACATTTACCTGTCATGAAGTATTTTTGTACTTTATTGAATTTTTACTTTTACAAAAGTAAAGGATCTTCTTCCAGCTTTAATGAATCTAAAGCGACTCCCACTGAGAGCTTCTGCAGGCTGTAATACCTGTTGAAACATCAGTCATTTAACATTACAAAGAAATCAAAGGCAGTAGCTGTGCCAAAATAAATAGAAGCCTGGAAGTCATGATCTATGATTATAGAGGCAGTTTGAGGTGCCCCAATACATTTCACATGATTTGCAGGTATTTTGTCTAAAATATGATGCTGTCCTTTTCAAATACTATAAATTGGATTTACCCTTACTTTCAACCCCATTCATTTGTAATTTGGGTAACACTTTATATTAAGGTACACAAATTCACCATCAACTAGTTGTGAATTAACATGCGTATTAGCAGTATATTGGCTCTTTATTAGTCATTATAAAACACTTATTAATGCCTTATTCTACATGACCATATTCTACAAGTAATAAGCCATTAGTTGAGAGTTTTTCCTCAATAACCCTCTAATTAGAGCTTATTTATTGCAAGTAAGGAAGTTGTGGTACATGAGTTTTGGTCTTAATATGCTCTGCTCAATATGGGCCTAATAAGGCAGTAGTAACACAAGAATAGTAATACTCCCATAATAACACTTAACAAATATGATCTATTCTCATGTACCAAGACATGAAACTCTAAGTGTTAACCTGTTAAGCCCGAGAGACCCCGGTACCGGGGCACTGCCGCAACATCTTGCAGGAAACAGTGTCTGAGGGCATGTTCATTTAATAAACAATGAATGTTTTATATCCATGTAACGGGAAGAAACTCATCTAACTGATAATTTTTTTTTTTTTTTAAATAAAACCCACAATGCTAACGCTGAGCGAAAAATGCTAACAGATTACTGCACCGAAAATCACTCACAAAACCTTATTATTTATCTTTTCACCACATCCATGACATCGTCTCACATCGTGAGGTGACACAGAATCGAAGGGTACCCTCATTATCACTCAATTATACGAAATTGCGATGTTATAAACAAAAACAGACATCAAAACATGTGGCGCTAGGTAGCTAAAAATGCTAACATGGTTACCTTGTCTCTGTAGTCTGCTCAAAAGTGGTCTTCAATGGCATTAAAACGATAAAAACGCTGCTGAAGTTAATCCATAGGTTAATCCAATGTGTCTGTGTCCCTTTGAAATGATTTCTGATAATCCATGATCAATAAGCCTGCTTTTCCGTTTCTAGATGTCAGAGCGAGAGATAGCTTCACTCTCATGCAAAACTACATGCGCAAAGCCCCCACCTTTTTGTTTTACAACGTGTGTGTGGGGGGGAATCCCCCTTCGATTCTATTGGCTCTAACGGTCAGAAAGAGGTGTCAACCATCAAAATCGACAAAGGGGGGCCAGAGATATGGAAAAAAAACCATTTCCACCCAAATCACCTCAGAGGTGGAGTTTGTTTGGCTAAACCTCTCTAAAAAGGTCAAATGTCACTTGTTTTTGCATCAATCTTGATACAGGGTACTTATTATATGTTGTACTTTGGATTCCTAAAGCTTTTAGTCTACTAACCCATCATCCAAGGGTAGTTTTCACTATAAGTAAAAAATAATCTTTGGACGGACACTATAATTTACAGTTTTTTACTATGTACATTCTTAATTTTCTTTAAAATAAAAAACATCTATATTGTTCTGACTTTTCTAAATCCAACTCACAGGTTTATCATTACTTTGAGAAAAAAGATTATTAATTTAACCCTTTTAGAAGGGAAGATATGGTCATTTGTTCTGGGAATGTCATTTTCGAGACCTGAAAAACAGGCTCAGGGCTTAACAGGTTAATATGGGCCTAATAAGGCAGTAGTAACACAAGAATAGTAATACTCCCATAATAACACTTAACAAATATAATCTATTCTCATGTACCAAGACATGAAACTATAAGTGTTAATTGTGTCTAAATAATTCAAAATTAGGTATTTATATCTAAGAATATGTTTTGGGGTATTGACAGTTCAGCTACCAATAGCAAGGTGATATTGACCTGTATGTTTCATATTTGCACATTTATATTTTTGTAAAATGTGTACTGAAGGTTAGACAGGAAACCGGGTACAGGAAGTAGGAGAAAGTGAACTGAATAGCATGGCAGTAGACATCCATGAGTAGACTGCTACTAATTGTCCCTATGCAACCCTGTCTCCTAAAAATTACGTTCCCACAGAACTAAACTGCATTCTCAATTACGTTTAGCTAGAAACGTATTTTCTCCCACATTTCTCCCACACGCGAGCTAAACAAAAGTTACAAGGGTTTCAGAGGAAATAATGGACATGTATGTGAGTACATCCAAAAGGACAAAAGTGCTGATTTACATTACAGGTGATTAACACCGAACACACCCTAAATTAATCCCTAAATGATAAGGTCTTCTTAACTGTTACTGATCGGAAGCTACATCTATATTTTCTGTTATGAAGTTGTTATGGGACATTCCCCTCAACCCAGGAGTGCAACGTGGCAGGCGAACGCCTTATTTTGGAAGTTCAAATTCAATTATTCTGTTTTTTTTCTTTTCATTGTTTTTGTTGAACTGCACAATGTTCTCAGGGCAGCTACTAGTAGTCATGGTTAGGATGTGTCCTACAAGGAAGTATACTACCCCACAAAAATATTATGAGTAATAATATCTCACTGGTGTCAATTAGTGTTAATTTCGTCAGCTATTTTTTTATTTAGTTTTAGTCTTAGTCCCGTGTTAAATTTCCTTTTTAGTTTTAGTCATATTTAGTCACCTTCATCCTGTTTTTATTTCGTCAAGTTTTAGTCGACTAAAAGTTTGAGCATTTTAGTCTTATTTTAGTCAAAGAAAACTAATTATTTTAGTCAGTCTGTACACAACTCGTCACTCACTCGCGCTGACGGGGGGGGGGCGTATTCGGTTAACGCGACCACTGCTCCCAAGCCCTGTTGTTGCCATTTTATTTTCTGTTAAATAAGGTTAGTTAGACCATGAGTTGAACCCGAGTCTTTCTGACTGTTCATATTGTACAGCTAGGTGCCTTCTCCTCTGCCAAAGCCCCTCTTACCTGTGGGGTTCCCCAAGGCTCGATTCTGGGCCCCATCCTTTTTCTACTGTACATACTGCCCCTAGGTTCAATTCTCACTAAACACAATATTCCCTTCCACTGCTATGCCGACGATGTACAGATATATCTGCCTCTCAAAGCAAATGTCAAACACTCACTACAGCAGTTGATGGACTGCTTAACAGAGATAAAATCCTGGCTGAGCAAAAACGTTCTCAACCTCAACGAGAGCAAGACTGAGGTCATCTTTTTTGGACCCCAACCTCCAGCCTCTCCGGTTGATATTCTGGGCTCTCTCAATAAAAACATCCTCCCCTCTGTCATGAACCTTGGAGTGACCTTCACTAGCACTTTTAAATTCGACAAGCAGGTCAGCACCGTAGTCAAGACCTGCTTTTTTAAAATAAGACTATTGGCCAAAACCAAGTCGTATTTATCTTTTAAAGACTTAGAAAGGGTTATTAACGCCTTTGTAACCTCGAGACTGGACTATTGCAACGCTCTGTATGTGGGTATGGACCAGACCTCAATTAAACGCCTGCAGCTAGTCCAAAACGCTGCTGCACGTTTGCTGACTGGCCACAAAAAGCGTGACCACATAACCTCAATTCTGGCCTCACTACACTGGCTTCCAGTTCGGTTCAGAATTGATTTTAAAATCCTTTTATTTGTTTTTAAAGCACTAAATGGGCTGGCTCCGGCCTATATAGCTGAACTCCTCCAGCGCTACACCCCAGCCAGAGCTTTAAGGTCTGCTGACCAGCTGCTGCTGGTAGTGCCCAAGACCAGGCTTAAAACCCGAGGGCACCGAGCCTTCGCAGCAGCTGGCCCTAGGCTCTGGAACACTCTGCCCCTCCATGTGAGGTCGGCCCAGACCCTAGGGGTTTTTAAATCTAGACTAAAAACACACTTCTTCTCTCTGGCCTTCTAGTTAGAGCGGAGCACGACTCCTGACTTTTCCTTGTGTTTTTTTTTATATATATATCTGTTGTAATTTATTGTCTTTTATTGTGATTGTAGTAATGTGTTTTTATTACATGTACAGCACTTTGGCTCAACCAAAAATCACTTTTAAATGTGCTTTATAAATAAAACTTGATTTGATTTGATTTGATTTGCTGCCCAGCCGCAGCACCGGAAATGGAACTGCTGGGAGAAAAACTGACTATCAGAGATGTAACGTTATCTTTGATATTTTTAGTTCAGTCAGACAACTCACGTATTCTTTAACATGTTTATTAGAAGCAGCATATAGTTTGGCGACTAGGCTCGGGCATCATCACTCCACAGATATACATAGCACGATGAGTGATGATTAAATAACTAACCCCGAGCCTACAGGTGGATGCTGGGATGGTGGTGGGGCAGGCAAGCAGCAGCAGCATGAAACACAGCGGTAGCAATGTGAACGCAATAGCAGGGCACGAACGCAGCAGCAGCAGCAAGCAATGCATAGAGAGATATCTGGCAGGTTCAATAGAGCGGCATATTAAGGAAACTCTGTTTGGTTGGTTGTAGAGTGGCAAGGGGCGTTATGTATGAATGCAGCATAAGTGCTCGAGTTGACTGCCTGAACTAGCTCGCAGGCTTCGCCCCATTCTTGTCCTTTTTCGTCAACGAAAGTAAAGAGAGATTTTGGCATAGTTTTTATTTAGTAAACTACATTTTCGTCTCGTCACTTTTCGTCAACGATATTGCATGAAGATTTCGTTGCAGTTATTGTTTACTGCCGTCGGTGCCGTCTCGTCATCGTCTCGTTTTAGTCATGGAAAAAAAGGTCGTTGACGAACATATTTCGTCATAGTTT